ACGCTTCTTACACGACCTGATCAAGTGACCACTGCGCAGACAGCCCAAGCAGAGCCTCCTGCTCCTGACATGCTCGTCTCGCACGTGAAACGGCTGAAATCGCAGCTGCTCGCAGTAAGCCACAAAATGATCACCATTGCAGAACGTGCAAGGCTGTCTCCCTGTCACACCGGTAATTGCATTTACCTTGTGACTCGGGAAACTAGAACCAGACCCACCGCGCTTGCCATCTGATTTGACAGGATGAGTGTCATCGACCGTACTGGAACCAAACAGGGGGCTCCTCTTAACCCTCACCTCGGTTTCCAAAAACTCTACTACATCAGCGAGTGTCACCCGTGAATCCATCATCCTCTGGTGCCTGGAGTCCACCTGTCTCAAAAATCTGTCGTGCAGGGCCGAAGGAAACTTACCCAGAATCGACCTGATCGTCATCGGATGCTCGAACTCTGAACCGTTTACACCGCTCACGACGTTCGATATCTCCCGCAGAAAAAGCAGCGAACGGTCCCACGACGAGACGTCATCAGCATGAAGCCGAGGCCACTCCCTCAGCCTCTTGGAATACTCATCCATGACGCGATACAAATGCCCATAGCGTTCCTCAAGAAGTTTGCGAGCCTGCTGGTAACCGTCCGATTTCAAAAACATGCACCCGCGCACCATCTGGTTCGGAACACCGCACGTGAACCGATCGAGATAATGGAGCTTCTCACTAGCATGATCATCCCCAATTTTTGAGTCAATGCGAGCGTCAAAAAGGCACTGATCCATAGACGGTACTCGACTATGTCTCCCGAAAACTTTTTTAGCTCGTTGGGAGGGAGTGACATCCTCTGCAAATGAGAACTCATGAGCCCAGACTGTTCCGGGCTCGTGTCAGACGCTGAGTTGGTCTGAATCTGCGTGGACTTCAGTGAGTCCAGATCAAACTCTTCCCCCGTGACCTCAGCAAGCTGCAGCTCCAAATCAATTTGCTCTGATCTAAAATTGATCCTCAATTTCTCCTGCTCTATCTCCTGCTTCTCTTTGAGAAGTTTAAGTTTAGTGTCCAACAGCTGGGCTGATGGAGCCGGCTCATGAACTGTTCCTGCTTCGCCACCCTGATCGACCTTAGACTCAGCCATGTCCCCAGAAATGGACTCCCAAAGCCGCGCTCTACCAACTCTGGCTTTTTGCCCACCGTGCTGAGGCTGCGACCCTCTAACTGACTCTGCAAGTCTGACGTTTTAAGTTTGGACAAATCTTCCTTGGTCGCCATGGCAAAAAGTTCAATTAAAGGGACCCTCCCACCTTAACATTAGTTTTGAGTTGAGATAGCCAAGTTTGCGGCCAGGCTCAGAAACCACCATTTATCCTGGTCGCAACCCCCGCAGCTTTAAAGTGTTCAAGAAATTTCTTCCCTTTACTTGCAGGGTGGGACCAGCGTAGTCCCTATCTCTTAACACTAACGGACTCTGATGACGTCATCAAGCCCATTGACCGCGCGTTATAAAATAAAAGTCTTATATTTCAAAAACGGGTGAATATTTTTCGGTGAAATTTGGTAGATGTTCATTTTCGCTCTTTCTGATTCACGGTACACCACTTTTATGCCAATTCATTAACTTTTTTAAGGTGGGAGGGTCCCTTTAAAGCGCAAAATTATAAATTCACAACTCGAACTCACCGTCAGGCGGTAAGGCTGTGAATGAAGACGTCTGACTGTTGGTCGCCTAACCAATTACCTGTGTCCTGCTATACCTGAAGCCCTGACCTAATGACCGAGTAGAAACGAAACCGCGGGATCTGCTCTCAAAGGGAAGGAGTAGGACAGCCCTCTCACACCGACCTAAACGAATAACCTAGCGAACAATCGACCAGCCCCACGGTATCACAATGATCAGTGTCCCAAAATATTTCGATTTGGGTGGGAAACGACATCCAGATAAAAATCATTTTGCACTCTCATCTGTAATATCTAAGAGCAATTTTCCACTCCCAGCTTTACTGAGAATAAGCATCTGCATTGGTCATTTTACATATTAGGTACATTTTACCTCATTATATAGAAATGTATGCCATTGATCTCTTTTCCACTCATTTTGGGCCGTATCTGACTGGGTAATTTTCCACTCTTATCCCTCTTTTTGGAGAGGAATTTTGCCTCTGACACCCAAACCAAAACACAATTTTGGGACACTGACAATGATCGTCGCCGAGGTAGGAGCAATACTTAGCTTATGTTTGAGACTAATTTCCTCGCTTATTAAACATTTTAATTTTATTTTAATTGGTTGATGTAATTATTTGACGCATTCTCTTTCTATTGATACCATCCACCGGTCTGAAAGGTTCTGCCTTGCTGCGTAAGGAGTAAGGACCTATTAAAGATCACGCTTTTAGGGGTATCTCTTCAACATGGGGCAGGAGCAATAAAAAAGGGCGCTCTAATTTTAGCTTATTTCCCTGGTAGGTCACCAACTGATGTAGGAACCCGGTGGATAAAGAGTTGTAGAACATCAATCTGCCCCCGAGTGTACCTACCTATTTAATCTTCTTAACCCCTTGTAAGCTTGTGTAGGTGGTATGCTTCATGAGCCTGAGAATCTGTAGCCATTTGCATTGTGCTTCTTTTGTCTATATGTTTTAACTAAAAACAGCTTATATAACTATTCTATTTGCGTGGGTTTGCGGGTTTTTTGAAGTGCTCAGTTTTTGCAGCGAGCTTTTTCTCTTAGGGCCTGCGAGATAACCCCGCACCAACATATCTCTTAAGCATTGGCTTCAGACACAGGAATGCGGCTAATTCACGTGCTTTTGTGAGCGAGGTGCTTCCCTCCGGGAGAAATTCGCCGTCCCCATGTGCTTAAAGGAAATAGTTCACTTTTTAACATGGGTTTTGAACTGGAATAGCAGTTCCGTAGCTTGGGCTGAGACGAGCATAAATCAGGAGCTTTTACAGCCCAACGATCACCCTAGGCAAAGATATTCTATTTCTCGTCCCGAAAAAGGTGTCTTGCGTTGAGGATGTGTGCCTTGCATATATTTCCATCCAGTATGAAAAGAGCATGGGTCCCGAAAATTCTTCAGAAACTAGAGAAATTATCTACGAGAACTCTAGAGAAATTCTCGTACTGATCAATTAGGACATTCAGGGGAACATTATCAGATCGAGCAGATCGCCCAAATGCCGGTGGCTGCGATAATTTCTCTGTTTCTGAAGAATTTTCGGGACCCATGCTCTTTTCATACTGGATCGCGTGTGCCTTACAGAAACTGAAAAGTTCTTCCTATATCAAAATATAGAAAATAATATTTTGTTATAAAAAGGTTTTATTTTCTTTGCTGATTATTTTGAACATAAAAAATCATAAATCCGTTGCAAAAAAAATAATTTCGTGAAAGTGAACTATTTCCTTTAACACAGAGCCGAGCGGCGGCTGACAGGTGGCCGCAAGGCTGGCCGGCTCTCGGGAGATCGGCAGCCGACACTCGAAAAATCGACAAGCCGCCGCTGAATGCGCGTGCGAAGATGAGCGGGCTACCGCCGTTCCGGAGCTCCCGGTAGTCGGCGGCCGGCCGGGGCCGCCGTATGTAAATGCCCAGTCGGGGCAGGTGCTGCCACCTGCGCAGTCGGCCGGCCAGAGCCGCCGTGCGCGGTAGTTCCACCTGCTGCCGCCAGAGGGATATCGCCACGCGCGTCGTCACTAACCATGCGAATCTAAGAAAAGTTGAATAACTTGAATAAGAATGAGGGTAAAGCCAGAATTTTAGCGGCGAATGAGGGCGAATAGCAAAGGGATCCAACACAGCCATTTGTATTTACTGTATTTACCCTTTTCAGTCAGCGATAAGCCCCAGCAATCGCACCGCTGTAAAACTCGCAAGCTGTTCACCGTGCAGGGTAATCCATTATAACCACCCACCGGCTCGGAAAATGATAGTGTAAATGCAGCATAGGTAGGACGCGAAAAACGAGTGGGCAATCATAGGTAGGTGAAACACATTTCAAATTAGAAGCAAACTCGACTTAAATTGCAAGCATTTCCTTGAAATTTCAGCAAGTCGATCTGAGACCAAGGCAGATTTAAAGAATCATTGGTTGTCTGATTTACACGTCAGAAAGTAACAAGTTTTTCGCGGTATTTAGGCAAGTAAATACCAAGTATTTTAGAACAAGTTCTTAACGGTATTTAGGCAAGCAAATGCCAAGTACTTTGGCAGCATTTCAGTACATTAGCAAGTTTTCAGTACATTACCAAGTAGCAGGTGATACAGCAAGCTGGCAGGTATTCTGGCAAGTTCAACAAGTTTTTCGCGAATATCTACGCTTCTAGACGTCCGATCAACACGGGACTAACACCAATTGGTCCCAAATTTTCTCCTTAATCATTTTATGGCCAACGCGACGCGTAGCGAGCCAAGATATCTTGTCTATATACTATTTGGTTGCATTTCGTTAAAAGTATCCACGGCCGGCTGACGGCTGGCTGCCCACAGTTTGCCACGGCTGTGGGCGGCTGTGGCTGTGGAGCCACGGCTGCGGGGCGGCTAGGCTGTGGAAAATTACGGCCGTGCAGAACTCTACCTAGAAGGTCAAACTGATCCGCATCTGCTACTGGCAGCATCTTGAATGGCCGTTAGTCTGGTTATAGACACTCGTTACAGTCTCTTCTGCCGCGCCGATCGCCTCCAATCTGCGGGCTGCGTCGTTTGTGCCGCTCCATTTACTGCGCCCTTGGGGCGGAATTTCTTTGCTGTTTCGCACGTAGCGTGGGAGAGTGAAAGGACGAGTCGGGAGAGGAACACCTGTCGCTGGGGACCATGTGGGCCAGTGAAGTCCAGAGTGTGTTCAACATTTTTATGCAAAGCCCGGTGGAGAAAAATGTTATCTCATTACAAATACCTACCCCTACCCCTCCAGGCATCATCCAGCTACTGCTGTGACCCAATGTGGGTGTGCTGACGCCTCGCCCTACCCAATGTCGGCGTGCTGACGACCGCCCCTACCGTTCCAGGCATCATCCTGGCGACCGTGTCGGCAAGCCTCAGCAATCTGATGGGAGCCAGTCGCGTGCTGGACGCCCTCGTCAAGGACCGCCTTTGGGGTAGGTGATGGGCCGGGCCGGGGGAACAGTGCAGCCCACGCTGACCGGCCGGCCCTGTCTGGCTGCTCCCGGCCGCCCTCCTACTGGCACTGCATAGGGTTTTTTATTTTATTTTACTTTCCAGTCAACTGGATAGCACTGTCAGTTTCATAATTTCATAATTGTAACCAGTAAAGCCCGAAACAGACTCTTTCCGCAGTCAGGAACTCGCATGCGAGAGCCTATTCAAATACATGAAAGCAGGCTGGCATCAATCGTCCCTCCTCCCGTGTGCGATTGATGCGGGCAGAACTGTAATGTATTTGAATAGGCTCTTGCTTGCGATTTCCCCAATGCGGGAAAATTCTGTTTCAGCCTTAACCCTCGCCCGTATCGGTGTTTTGCCAGCCTCGAACGCATAAGGGGGGGGGGGGGGGGGGGTCCGTTGGACCCACTTTTGCCGTTTCGCCCCTGATCCAGCTAGAGATTTACGTTTCAACCGCCTCTGACAGCTTCATAAGATGTTACGAAAACACCAAAGCTACTTCGTAAATGTTGAAATGGTTTCTAAATTCGAACTCAGCTCCAAAAACTGTGTGTCGCTATGCATAAGGAGCCCGCCTAAGGGCTCCCGGAGAATGGTGTAGGCCCCGAGGAGCCCGCCAGTGACCCCATGAGTGGTAAGTGAGGAATACCAAGTACCTGACAGTGCTTAACCACTTAAGAAATAGCATGTTATGTATATTCATATCAATCGCTGAACGTTTCTCGGTGTAGCTATAGCCGAACATTTTAAGTTTTTCTTTTCGAGGTGAGGTCAGTTGGACTGAACTGGTGGCCTGGGCCTGACAATTTTAACTTTTAACCTCAACTTCCGGAACCGACCGAGCCGGTCCCGTGGCTCAGTCGGTAGAGCGTTGGGCTCCGCGAGGTGGGAGCTCGCGTGCCGGTCATAACATAAGAGTCCGGGTGCGAAGCGCGAGGGGCACTCGATGTTTATGAGCCTCCTGACTGGTATGGTTGCGGTTGGTGGCAGGCCGTAGCCAGTTTAAGTCAGTGAGGGACCGGCCGTGCGCGGCTATGTGCGCACGTTAAACTTTGGAGTTGGACTCTAAATTCTGCCATAGAACTGGAATTGCGCGATCGGAGGGTAGAGGGCAGGATCACCGCAACAAGCTTCGCTTAGCGGTGGCTCTGGCCTTGTGAATCCTTCCCATCAAAAGGTTCGGACTAAATTTATTTAAAAAAAAAATGATATCATGTCGATTTCTCCTACATGTTAACCCTCGCCGGCACAGGCCATTTTGACTCTGGCAGGCAGAGTTTTTCACGTTTGCCCCAAGGTCACTCAATCATCAAAGCAATATTTCAGTTTTTCAGCATAGGAACTTTGAGAATGTTTATTTTTTTAGTTTTCTTGACTTATGTCTTGGGGGGGGGGGGCAAAAGATAGTATGCACCCCCTTTGACCGTATTGGGGGGGGGCATGGCCCCGTTGGCCCCCCCCCCCTGGATCCGCCCTTGACGGAAAGTCGCCCTTAAAACCCGCGAGTTGCTGGGGGAGGCGTTAAACGCCCCCACTTTTTTTCGCCGGGCGATAGCATAAAAACGGCGCGCCACAGGCGCGCCAAATTTTGGGTAACTGTAGGGAATTGATTGAAGTTTATTGTGACAAAGTTTCAAAAAAATCGGTCGGAAAATTTTTGAGATATCGAGATGTTAGTGACGTCATGATTTCTGAGTTTTCGACCAAAAACGGCATGTGTTCAAAAAATCATATAAAATCACAGAATAGACATACAGACATGCCGTAAACGCCATTAGACTGTCAATACCATGAACAATCAAATGGTTATCTTCGATTATTGATTATCGTTCCGCATTTTCCAAAATCTTGAACTGAATCTTGGCAATTTCTCGTGACTAACTACTTAACGACCATGATACGATACACGCATTTCTTAAATTGAACGTTTTGAGCCAAACACGTACATATATGATAAAATGAATGTCACCATCGTGTTCTACGCCCCAAATTACCCATAAATCATGTGTCACAGGCTGCGAATATCAGTTTTGATTTTCGGGGATATGTGCCTACCCGGTTGACCTGACCTTGACCCTGACCTATGCTTGACTGACCCCTACATGGAGCTGACACTGTTGTGGGCCTTATATGATGGATCGTGCACCGTTTTGACAGAGTTTATGACGAGAGGCGCCCATTGCGAAGTCCTGAAGTCCATGCTACTGAAAGCCCGATTTCAGGTGTTTGACCTGACCTTGACCCGACCTGTGACCTCGAAATTCAACTTTAAAGAACTCATCTGAAGCGTCTCGTCGCGTTCTTTCGTTTGCTGCCTCGTGCGTTTCGCTGCGCCCATTGGTTCTCGAGTTATCGGCTGGGGGCGTTTAACGCCCCCCCCCCTCCCAGCAAATGGTGTGTGGCGAAATACCCCAGCAACTGCCGGGTACGCTTACATCCTTTGCTTATAAGGTCGATGGTTGGAAATTAGAAGGTGCTCGGCTATTTTCGACCACGGACTTAATCACATGATGAGGAACATGCTGATAAGCTTTTATGTGTCATCTATATTATAAATCCTAAAAAGTACCCCGCCCACGCCGTGTGCGACGTAGTCACTTTGTAGCGCTTATTGCGGCGGCGTCCGTTGACCTACGGCCGTGAAATTTTACAGCGATGTGGGCCACCTTTACACGTAGGTCGTATTAACTTTTGGACATGATGCGGCCGGGGGTGCGCCCTTGGCGCGTGCTCGCGTGCCCATAGGGTTAACATTAGAATCGGCAAAAACACGCTATTGCTCGGGAACGGTAAGGGCTACGGGGGTGAAACTTTCACTGCAAGTCGGACACGTGCACTCATTTGTCGTATTAAATTTTCGAGGGGGTGGGTTCAGCGGTGTGCACGTGGTGGGGCCGCGACCGGCGCCGAGCAAGAGGGCACGTGCTTTAGGCTCAGTTGTTCGCTTAAAAAACTGAGTGGGCCGGCAGGTCATTGACCTTTGACAACGAAGGCCGACACAAGGCACCGCTGGCCAAGGGGATTCACCAGAAAATACAATTAATTTATTTTTGCAACATCTCAGCCGTTTCTGGGCCGATTTAGCTGAAACTTGGACTGTCGCTGGTAGGGTAGGGTAGGGTAGGGTAGGGTAGGGTAGGGTAGGGTAGGGTAGGGTAGGGTAGGGTAGGGTAGGGTAGGGTAGGGTAGGGTAAGGTAGGGTAGGGTAGGGTAGGGTAGGGTAGGGTAGGGTAGGGTTAGGTAGGGGATTGTAGGGTAGGGTAGGGTAGGGTAGGGTAGGGTAGGCAATGTCCCAAAATTGGTCGATTTGGGTGGGAAACGACATCCAAAAGAAATTCATTTTCCACTCTCAACACCAATTTTTAAGAACAATTTTCCACTCCCAACCAAGAAAGTAGAAACCTATATTTTTTACCTATAGAAAGAGCAGTTGTGTGGATGCCCGGTTTAGCATCAAACATCCTACACTTTAGAATAAAATGCATGCTTTTTGTTGTTTCTCACTCTTTTTGGATCTAAATCGAATCAGCAGTTTTCCACTCTCCCCTCTTTTTGGTGGATAATTTTCCCCTCTGACACCCAAGACAAAACTCAATTTTGGGACACTGAGGGTAGGGAATTGTAGGGTAGGGTAGGGTAGGGTAGGGTAGTGTAGAGGTAGGGTGGGGTAGGGTAGGGTAGGGTAGGGTAGGGTAGGTTAGGGTAGTGTAGGGTAGGGGTAGGGTAGGGTAGGGTAGGGTAAGGGTAGGGTAGGGTAGTGTAAGGGTAGGGTAGGGTATGGTAGGGTAGGTTAGGGTAGGGTAGGGTAGGGTAGGGTAAGGTAAGGTAGGGTAGGGTAGGGTAGGGTAGGGTAGGGTAGGGTAGGGTATGGTAGGGTAGGGTAGGGTAGGGTAGGGTAAGTTAGGAGTAGGGTAGGGTAGGAGTAGGGGTAGGGGTAGGTAGGGTAGGGTAAGGTAGGGTAGTGTAAGGGGGAAGGGTAGGGTAGTGTAACGGTAGGGTAGGGTAGGGTAGGGTAGGGTAGGGTAGGGTAGGGTAGGGTAGGGGTAGAGTAGGGTAGGGTAGGGTACAGTAGGGTAGGGGTAGGGTAGGGTAGGGTAGGGTAGGGTAGGGTAGGGTATGGTAAGGTAGGGTAGTGTAGGGGTAGAGGTAGGGGCAGGGTAGGGTAGGGGTAGGGTAGGGTAGGGTTAGGGTAGGGTAGGGTAGGGGTAGGGTAGGGTAGGTTAGGGGTAGGGTAGGGTAGGGTAGGGTAGGGTTGAATTGAGTAACATCCTAACTTATTAAGGGCTCGAACAACTCGCATGCATCACCATCATACTTTATAGTTCAATTAAAAGCAGTTACCCAGTTCTACACAAATAATACCAATAAAAATGCAAGTTTCTACACCCAAACTAATGCATCCGTTTATCATACATATCAAAACATACAGTTATCGCGTAAACCTGTACCTCTAGTAAATCCTAAAAAGTACCCCGCCCACGCCGTGTGCGACGTAGTCACTTTGTAGCGCTTATTGCGGCGGCGTCTGTTGACCTACGGCCGTGAAATTTTACAGAGATGTGGGCCACCTTTACACGTAGCTCGTATTAAATTTTGGACATGATGGGGCCGGGGGTGCGCCCGCGGCGCGTGCTCGCGTGCCCATAGGGTTAACATTAGAATCGGCAAAAACACGCTATTGCTCGGGAACGGTAAGGGCTACGGGGGTGAAATTTTCACTGCAAGTCGGATGCGTGCACCCATTTGTCGTATCAACTTTTCGAGCGGGTGCGTTCAGCGGTGTGCACGTGGTGGGGCCGCGACCGGCGCCGAGCAGAGGGCACGTGCTTTAGGCTCAGTTGTTCGCTTAAAAAAAAAACTGAGTGGGCCGGCAGGTCATTGACCTTTGACAACGAAGGCCGACACAAGGCACCGCTCGCCAAGAGGATTTGCCAGTAAATACAATTAATTTATTTTTGCAACATCTCAGCCGTTT